TGAATGAGTCATTGAATCACTCGCTCAACTGATTTGTCAAATCAGCTGAGCAAATGAGTTGAGCAATAAGTGACTCTTTATGAACGAGTCATTGAATCATTGACTCACTCGATTAGTTCAGAAACATGGATTCATTCGGAAACGAATCACCGCTGTATGTTGTTCAGAGACGCTCGACAGTTCTGCTGTGGATTTGATCTGAACTATTTTGTGTGAATTTGAGGAGAAACTGACAATATTGTGTCTAAAATGTAACAATATTAACTTCTTATTTAGCTATTAAATCACTATCACATTAGCAATCGTGCACATCACACCAAATTAAAGCATTAAACTGACCTACAAATCTTAGTTTTGAGATATTCAGAATAAGCGTCAGATAAACTCACTGGCAGAGAGGAAATAAACGAAGGAAGGCACTCACTTCTGATGAGGAGTCGCAGGCCCTTGGGTGAAAGGGCCGAGTCCAAAACTGCTGCTTCCTCCCAATCCAGACCCCTACATGAGGAAACAGAACCAGTCACTATTATTCTAAACTTTTGAACACTACTGTGCAACCCAACGCACTTGCAAACAGAAAGCGCTGAGAAACGGATCACTCACCCCGATCTTCTCGTCGATCAGCTGTCTGGCCATCTCCATCTGCTGAGGAGATCCGCGGATGGAGAAGATCCGGACGTTTGGGTCGGTGTTCGGAGGAGGATTTCTCTGCAGCTCCACATGAGCTCCAGACTGCTGGTTGATGCTCTTTATGGTCTCTCCACCTGAGCAGAACACATGAGCACGACCCATTAACACACATCTATCACATGCAAGACGCCCTGTTTGAAGCTTCAATTACTGGGAAGTTGAACTAGATTTCACGATTGAAGCAGTTAGAAACATCAGGGACAATCAAGCATAAAAATACAGGTAAAAGGTAAAAAAAAAAATGTAATTAAAACAAAAAATATGGACACAAGGGATAGCTAAAATTAAAAAATAAAATAACGAGTTATTAACTTCAAGAGCAAGCGACTTCAAGTGCATAACACCTGCTACAATGGTTTTAAAGGTATATGGACGCATGGGCAAGTTTAAAAATACAAATAAATAAAAACAAAAATAACTTTTAAAATATGTAATAACTAATTAGAAACATGCAAACACAAATGTAAAAAAAATACAGGTGCATAGTATCTGCTCACTAAACAGCCATATAGTCCTCAATTATTTAAAAAGTATAAAATCAATTAAATAAAAAATAAAAACCAGTTACAAACGTGTGGGACAACCTTAAAATTAAAATAAAACACATGTGCATAGTATCTGCTCAATAAATAGCAATAAAGTCTTGGATTGGACAAAAAATGATTGGTTAAAATTTTTTTATTATAAATTAAATGAATGAATTGACTGAATGGTTTAACCATCAGCTCTCGGGCTGCTGTGCAAACACAGAAAAGCCTGGTGATGTCTGAGCATTTGTTCACTCATCTGTTTGACCCCGGCTCATCTAGACGCACTCCTCCCGCGCCGGGCCATTACTCTACTGTCAAACTAATTTACCCGCTGCATTAATGAAGCCATTATGAGCTCCGGCGTCAGCCAGAGGCGCAGATAAAGAGCCGAGTTCACGGACGGACCGGTTTAGTTAAAGGATGC